AAACATTCTGAAATGAATCTCCTACAGAAGCCTTTGCTACCTCTACAAATTCCCTGTCTCAGAAATAAGAGTTCTTGCCTCCAGAATTAGTGAATCTCTCATCTTACACTTCTCTCTGCTAAAATGTCAGATGCTCAAAAAGAGCTTTCTTGACTACCCTATCCAAACAGTACACCCTCCTGACATACCGTCTCCTCTCCCCAGCTCTACCTCATTGTTCTTTGGTCGCCTTATCTCTATCTGCCTGAATGTGAGGATACACTTATTTTCAAGGTCAAGCACTTTGTCTGTTTGGATCACTATAGCATCCTCATCTCCTAGAGATTATCCAGGCACTCAGTAAATGTGTCAAATGAATAAATGAGTGTATCAGTCAATATGGGTAAATTGGCAGTTATACAGGAGGTGTGTAAAACTAGTAAATAGAAATGTAGTTGCATTACTACAAGACAGAATTTTAAAATTTAGTTGCAAGTCATTCTGAAAAATAAATGTTACATTTTTGCTGGTCAAATGTAAACAAACTTTTTCATTCTCTGACCTAGTAAAACCATGGTGTGGAGGTTGACAAAGTAGACAGTAAGCCATTCTTTAGCCCTTTTAGCCTCGTGGTTGGTTTCTATGTCTAGAGTCTCCTGGATGTCAGTTGCTGGCTTCCTACTGGGTTAGCAAGATTTTATCTTCAATGTGAAGGTTTAACTTATGTTCTATTCCTTTCTTAAAGAAGATTCTATCTTTTTGTGGTCATTTCAAGATTTTCTTCCCATTAGGACTTGCCTCATTAATGATTCTTTGCAATTATTCATTAGAATGCAGCAAGACTTTTTCTTAAGAAAAAAAACTAAGATTTATATTTTGCAATCATATTTCACAAAATCATCAGAAAAACCTTTGTCATGTAGAATACTTCAAATGAAATCTCCCAGTCTTTGCATTGTGAATAACCTATATTAAGAAGTATTTGATTTCTTTTTCAAATCAAAAGATGTATATGAATGAGAAGACATCATTTCTTGAGCCTAACATCCAATGACATGAGAACACCTGTTTTTACATTGCTTTATCAGTCACAGAGCACTTATGAGCGTGATCTCAATTATCTTGATCCCCCAACAATCCCAGGTTATACAAATGCATTATTATCAACTGTTTTTTTTTGCACTTGAGGAAGTCCGGGATCAAATAGTTTAGGTGAGTTGCCTTAGTTCACCTAGCTAATTAGAGACAGATCTAAGATAAAATTCAGGTGCAAACTGGCACAATAAAAGCATTAAAATTACAAAGAACCTTATATATTATTTGTTTACTTCAAAGCTTTGAATATTACTATATCTCAACATCCCAAAGCCGCCTTTCCTGTGAAGAATTTGGTGGTGAGCCATAATATCCAGCTGCTTCTTAGTAGTTGTACATACAAATGGAACCAAGAGCAATGGCACCAGCACAGAAGCAGGAGGTGTCTGAAGTCTTTTACCCCTCCGGTTGTCCACTCTACCCAGCTCTCTGAGCTCCTAGAATCCCTCCTACATAGGGTAACACTGTTGCTTTACCACTATCACTGAAATCTTTCCGCTCCTCCTGTTGACACCACAATTGAGTGGTCCGCAGCCACTTGGGTTGTGATCCATCTTAGAATCCATCCAAACCAATCCCAGCAAAAGGGAAGAGATGGTTGATGGCTCTGTATAAGAGCAGCCACCTCACTCTAGTCCTAGGTTAGCTTGTGGGTTCTTCCGTGGGGATTCCTAGACCTGTGAGTATCATGACCTGCATAGGGTACACGTCAAACATTCTAACACCCTTCCTGCATCGTCAGCTCTCTTTAATCTGCAAGCTAAGTGTTTATGTTTCAGAAATGAGTCTTCAATCCCATTTTCAGAAACATTGTATGTGAAAATTGCCAGTGCCTGAATTCTCTAACCTTCCTTTGTCATGTGAAGAGGAGAAGTAGGAATAGCAAAAACACATTACAGAAATAAAGTATCAATGCTGGAACTGTAGCAGAAATTGTTCTGAATTGCTGTGTAGATAGACATTATTCCTGCAGAATGTATGTCTAAAATTGTAGGGGAGCTGTCAGTTCAGTTGGTCTGGTTTTCCCTTTGGTCCATCATGCTGCAATTGCATTTTGCCATTCTAGTTCTGGGCCCTCAGCTTGGTCAAGGTCAAGATCCCAGAATTGTTCTTTTTCAATATAATTGTAACATGTTGGACCATGTCAAAGTCTCCCCAGCATGTGTGCGTGTGTGTGCATGTGTGTGTGCACATATGTGTGTGTATGTGTGTGTGTGTGAGAGAGAGAGAGAGAAAGAGAGAGAGAGAGCATTGTTCCAGTTCCTAGAAAAGATGTAAGTGCTCATGAGTGGTGTGGTAAATTCCAGTAAGATACTCTTAGGACTCACTAGTAAATAGAACAAAATGTTGAGAGAAAACTCCTAATAAGAAAAGCGTATGTATTCTTTCACTTAGCAGTTATTAAAAATCTTATTGCATAGCCCCCGAGTGGTTATGGGAGATCTTTTTTCTCAAAATTGTCAAAGTTCTTATCAATATGGCTCTGATAGATGCATTCTTTTCTAAGCAAGGGTGGTAGAAGACATGAATTCCCGCAATGGACTTTTAACCTGTGATTCTTTGGCCTCTCTTCTGTCCCATAACCAATTACTGTGCCTACCCATAAGATACTGAAACCTGATGACAGTGGGTAAAAGGAGCATAAACAATGCTCCTTTTAACAGACCAAGTCTCAGTCTGCATTCTGTACAATGCTTCATTTTAGCACAAGTATTGTCCCAGGGTAACACTATGATCTTACAGTTTTATATGCTATAGGATATAATGCACTATTCAAATAGAAACTTCATGACTATATTTTTGTCAATATTCACACATTGACAGCATGATATTCACACAGGTAAACTTTGTCTTAAGATTCTTGCTCCCAGTACTGCAAAAAATAAAAAGATTCTTGCTCCTAGCCTAGGAGTATTTATTTGATTAATGGTAGTAATAAAAAGTTTCTAACATGAAGTAATGAATGTAAGAAGAGGATTTTCACATATGCCCTAAGATCATGTCACCACTTAAAAAGTCAACAGGTCCTCTCCTTGTTCATCCCTGGATGTTTTTAAGACATAAAATAAAGGCATGGTGTAAAGTTACCACTCTAAGTCTACCAGTGATGTTTAACTGGACTGTATTTGGGCATAATCACTGTTTCCTTCTTTTTACACTTTTGAATCCTTGACAATACTATCAAAACTTTCAGGCATGAGAAATGAGAGGAGGAAGTCAAAACCTACAGTACTTAAATGTATTCCTGGAAAAACCTAAGCTTGAGATAATGTTCAGTGTGATGTTGGCATTTGATAAATCAGATGCAATGAGGCTAATTATGCAAAACAGTTATTTTGAATCTATCACTCATCACAATGCTATATAAATCAGAAATTATTTAATTATTAGCAAAGGGAAATGTAAGGAGTTTGCCTGCCCTGCTTCTTTGCTTCCCTTAAACACTGTTTTTTTTAATCATTGCTATATTCATAGAGTTCCCAGAAATTCCCTCATCATTCAGAAATGCTGTTTTCTGTTTATTGACATTTAAAGAAGGCTGTGCCAAATATAACAGCAAAACATTTATCTATCAACAATTTCAAACCTTTTGAATGGTTTTTTCCTCAAATACACTAAAAGAGAATATTCAAATTATTCCATGATTTGTTCCTGAAGAAGCAGCCTGTCTTTGAGCATTTGAACATTTGAGCCGTCAAGTGGCCCTGGTGAAGGTCCTGGACAAGCAGCATAGAGGTGGAACTGTCCACAGGCTCCATCCAGGCCAAGGAATTCCAAAACCCTATTGCTTTAGGCTGGAATGAGAGCTCGGAATTAAGGCTTTATATTAAAAAGCAGTCAGCAGTTAAATCCCAGTGTGCCAGGTGGGTGTTAGTTTGGCAGTTTAGCGAAGGGGCCATTCCTAAGGCCAGTTGTAGCCCGCTTTGGTTCTTGTGTATGTTCTGTGCTCACCATGGATAGACAGTGCCTCTCCTTGCTGCCCCAAATTCATCTCATGCCCCAGTTCCCCTGACCTTTTTCCCCTTGAAACTGGTTCTCAATCAATGTCTTTTTACTGTCTGTCAACTTGACCTTGCAGCCCTCCTGAAAGTCTATTCCCTGATGTGCAGAGAACCCCTTCTTAAATGTACCTATGGTTCCCTGGTCTACAGCAATACTTCAAAGCAATACTTTTTTCCATTTTATACAATGAAGTGTAGCAAATCAGATTCACAAATGCAAGAAAGCTGTAGAACATAACTTCAAGTTGTAAGTAAGCCATTTAGTGACAGCCATTCATTCCTTTTCCAAAGGGAGGTAGACCAAATACAAATGCTTCAATTTGGAGCATCCGAGTAAAAGAAAATATAACCGAAAGCTTTGTTCATAAATATCTCCTCTCAGGGGGTTAGGCTGTAATAAGTCCAAACATTTTGGCTCATCTGTTGTCCAGGAAGAAACTGCTGATGGAACAAATTCTAGTTCACTTTTTAGGAGAAAAAAACATCAAGATAGCTTTGCTATTGTGGCTTATTCATTCACTCTACACTCAAAATAATTTCTATTGTACAGTTTATGGTGCAAGGGCTATGGTATAAAAAGAGGCTTGTAGGATTGTCTGTCTGCCTGATTCCATTGGTAAAGAACCCAGTTACATTCATTAGTCAGTGAGAAAAAAGTGATGTTTCAGTGGTCTCGTTTAGTGTGGATTTATCTCAGAAACACTGTCATCCTCATGGTGACATCAGCTTTGGGAGCAGCGTGAGGCAGCTGGATGGTGGCGATAAGCTGATTAGCCTGACAACTGCTGCCATTTCCTGTTATTCATTTGGTTTTCTACAGATTTCAATCACTCAGTCCCTGCCTCCCCCAACTTCAAATATTCTTGGATAAAATACTGTTGGATGTTGCTTGAGCCTTAATGCTCTCCTGTTCATTTGTTTTAGCTGGGTCCCGAGCCTCGTACAGCAGCCAGCATGGACACCTGGGCCCTGAGCTGCGGGCCCTCCAGTCCCCAGAACACCACATAGACCCCATCTATGAAGACCGCGTCTATCAGAAACCCCCTATGAGGAGTCTCAGCCAGAGCCAGGGGGACCCTCTGCCGCCAGCACACACCGGCACCTACCGCACGAGCACAGGTGTGTATCAGGACCCACTCGGGCCTGTCCACAAGAAAAGGCTTCCTTGGGAGCTTAGATGTAGTTCCTGAGTGTGTGTGTGTGTGTGTGTGTGTGTGTGTGTGTTCACCTCCACTCTCCCCACAAGCAATGTGACCTGCTGCCACCATCAATGTCTGTGACAATGATGGTAGAAAACACAGTATGTCTCCAATTTAACTACCTGAGTGTATTATGAATGATGGAAGTATAAAGAGGGTTGTAAGCTTATTTTGTCAATCAGGAAAATGAAAAGACACAGTACTAATGCTTCATACATCTTTATTAATGTATTTAATAAAATAAATACTTCAAGAAAACATAGTCATTACATATGACAAAAAATGCAGCTGCCTGGTGGTAAGTGCTTTCTAACGGTGTAGTCTACTTATTTGGCAAGATTAGCAGGGGAAATATTTGCTAAAAGTATAGCATATTTTGAAAGGCAAACTTAGAATTTGTTTCATACAAACTAATAGTTGAATCATTATTGTTTAATAAGTGGATGCTGGCAGTTGCTTATGACTCAACCAGCTGTGTAACTCTCCTGGATTAAGCATGTATTTTGAATTTTACACAACCACAAACCTTATGAAGAAAGACAAGTTTCCCCCAATATATAACCATTTGCAGAATAAGAGGTCTGATACCATGCTTACATTGCTAGAGAACACTTGGGCTAAAATATAAAATCAATAAAATTAAAGAGTTGTTCAGATATGCACTTATTACAAAGTCCCACTGCTCACAACAAAGACGATGTTGTTAGATTGCAGATCCTGTGGCTGGTTTCTTCTTTCCTGCTGACATGTGTGCAGGTCAGGCCTGGGACAGCTGTGATCTGGTCCAAAGCACAGCTCAGAGTATTGTAATATGTAGTGCCCAGTAAGTACAGTGTGGCAATTTTGATAAACTGCATTATGATACTAAATTGCATGTTTTTAAATCAAGGCAAGCTGAGCTGCTTTCAAAGTTAATTATTGATATTTACATTCTGATCTTTCACTACATCCTAAGAAGAAAGTCACAAACACTTGGTTTTACTTTTGACATTGTAAATGCCATCCAACGTTGATAATACATACATCGTGGTGTAGATGGAAAGAATACGCACTTATTCCACCACATTTCTCTTAGCGCCATCCTGCTAGTTCACTCCTGTCTGGAGTTGGGCTCCCTGAACATTTGAGTTTATGTACATGCCCTCCTTACAAAAGAAGAGGTAAGGACCCCAGTGATGTTTAAAACCTAATTTGAATAACAACCAATAACAAAAGGGATTTATTGATTTTCTGTTCCATATTAATGCACTCTGAGGATTATCTCTTGGTAATAAACTTCCAGGAGTTTAATGAAAAGTTAACTACAATTAAAAAAACACTTACTTCATCTATGTCACATTAAAGACAACAGAAGGTGTTTTCGCTAAGCCTGAGGTCAGTAAACAATGCACCAAAGCCAGTTTGCAACCTGTTTTTGGTAGCACTAGAGAGCGAAGAATTACTATTATATGTTTAAATAGTTGGGGAAAAGATCAAAAGACAAATAATGTTGGGGACATGTGAAAGCAACATGAAATTTGAGCTGTGTCCTTGAATAAAGTGGTAGTGTGCAGCCCGCCCTTGCTCATATTTGTCCCATGGCTGCTTTGGCATTGCAGTGGCAGATGTGAGAGACTGTGACAGAGATCATATGGTGGACAAAACAAGGACTATTGGCTCTCTGGCCCTTTGCAGGAAGTCTGCTGACCCCTGCTCCATGCCACCAGTGGAGAGCCATCTTGAAGGGACAAAGGTTTTTCTTTTCTCCCTCCTTTGGGGGTAGGCAACAGTGTTCTTGAAATGCTTCCAGTGATACCCATGGCAGATAGCTGCCAAAGTTATAACACCCGGAAGTCTAAAACCCATGCCAACCTACACCTTTGAACTTGAGGCAGTTTTGAGGAAATAGTATTTATGCAATGCTATGAAATTTTCCACAGGTTCATGGATAGTCTCTTGGGGAAACAGGTGGCAAAAGAGAAGACAGCTCACTTCAGCTCCTAAGCATAAGGCTATATACCCTCTCTCCCCTGTGGCTGTCCAGGTTGTCATGTCTACACCTGATTTACTTCATGTCCTCACACTTTCCCTACCCTAGAAATGTCTCTAGTATGTCTGAGACATGCCTTCAGTATGTGTATTATGTTAGTTATATATTTTAAGTGTACTATTTAATATTAAGTTATATCTCGTATAACATATATCTACAGATGGAAATTACAAAAAAGAGGTTACAGATATGATAGCTATAAAGAAACACTCTAAGGTCACTTCCCTGTGTCACAGAAGGTCATTTTTCCTTGCCAGAGACCAATGGGACTAACCTTGAACAGGCTTCCAGGTTACTGCAATAGTCTAATCCTTCAGGAGAAGAAGACAAATACTTACCAGGCCTGTTAGACTGAAGTGCTTAGGGCCACTGACTCTTAGCTCATCGGTGGCTCAGCTGACCTGAATCACTAGCCTTATCTTTCTGTCTTTTGAGTGACAGGCCACCAGCTAGAGCTCCTGCACTTCAGCCCTTGAAACATGTCAAATGCTGTCCTGAGAGCGAGGCAGGGAGACTGAAAACTATTTGCTTTCCATCAATGAGTCCACCTGTGAGAATGAAGACTCGCATAGGATGCCTCACCAATCATGGAAGGAGTAATTGGCGTGGAGAATGAAGCCTAGGGCTACTTTCAGGGACTGTTCAAAATGCTTTGAATATATTTACTCATTCCCAGAAAAACCCTAAGACTGAGCTACAATTATGATCTTATTTTATAGATCAGAAAACTGAAGCACAGAGATGTTGCGTCCTCTGCCTAGTGTCACACAGATTGTGTGGAGTCGGCTTCTAACATTCACACCCAGGCAGTTTTGCCCTAGATCCTAGGCTTTCATCATTTGAAAACAAAACAGATACACATCTGTGTTCATCTAGGGAGTTCAGTGACTCCCTTCATCCAGCTAATCGCATAACATCTGTTGAGGACATGTTTTGTGCTAGATGCACTGACAGATCCAAAGAAGCTTCAGCTCTCCTTGTCCTTGAACACGTGCGTTCAGAGCTGAAGGAGGGAGAGTGCTCAATGGCAGAACAGTTCATTGACAAAGTTTGAGGAAGTGATACTCATAACTCTGTGCAAGTGAGAACCAAGGTCAGCGTTAACACCAACAAATGATGGACAGCCTTGTCCTGGAAGATAAACCACAACCCCCTAAAGATACCTCACCTTATACTTTGCATCATATCAATAAGCAGAGCAATCTTGAAAGAACAGAGGCCAAGGATTAGATGTTAAATTAATATTATTTGTGATATACCACATACAGCTTTTACATAAGTACTTTCTACACAAGGACGTGATGTAGTACCACAGGCTGAAAATTAAGAATAATTTAGATATCAGGGCTGGGCATAGTGGTATATTTCTATAATCCCAGCTACACTGTAGGTAGAGATTGGAAGATTATGGCTTGAGGCCAGTCACTGCAAAGTTAGTGTGAGACCCTGTCTTTGGGTGATAATATATTGTAAGTAGACAGACAGAACATAAAGAACATAATATGCCTCTCACACCATGACCACATCCTAACAGTCACTTGATGTAAAACCATTTTCTACTTAGGAAGATTTTTTTCTCCCATACTAGTTCTGTTCTTGCACCCAGCTCTGTCTCATGTGACTGAGCATCTTGTAGAATCACATGAATAATCCATACCATCTGACACTGTAGATGGGCCACTAGGAAACCTCATGCTACCCTACACAGCCTCTCCTCTCTGCCATCCTCTCTCTTGTCCTGTGATAGGTTTGCTCTGAGCCCTCATTCTAGCCGGTAATAGAAGCATCCCCTACCCACTACCCCACTGCCATGTTCATGGAAAATTCTATCCAAGGACCTTCATCTGGGCCCATTTAGTTTTCAATTGAAAGCAGTTTTACTGCATATCCCTCTTAGGAAGTAGCCAAAGAAAATGATGTTACAGATTCTGAGGAATATTAAAATTTGGCAAATGATCAATATAATACGGATTTAACCAGGTACACTGTATGTCACATTCATTTTTAATCTTTGTTGGCTTTTTTGCCAAACATCATACTTTGAAGTGTGTGGGCTGTGTTAAGTGGGTGTTCCAGCCTGTGTAGTACCCACAGATCAGATGAGGTGACACAGGCAGAGCCTGGAGTCAAACAGCCTGGGCTTTTATCCCTGCTCTGCCCACATGGTCGTTTACTACCTGCTCATATAAGAAATGTAGAGGGTGATGTAAGAGGAATGGTGCCAGCCATTAACATTAACATTAACATTAATGTTCATTGTTGTGAACATTAAATGAGACTGTACGCGTAAACTCATAACAGGATCACTGTACAGTATGAAGCTCTAAACTAACACTCCATTAATTGTTACCCTTTCTAGTATATAGGGAATGTCAGCATTCCCTTTCAAAACAAAATAGGCTTGGAATGTTGCAAAAGCCTGACTGTGTCATCATCCATAGAAGCCCTTCTCTCACATGCTGTAAATTAGAGGTGATTAAAAATACATCAAATATCCATGTAAATATGTACAAAAGAATCCACGTGAAGAACTAAATACATGGTTTCCTTTGCTTTCCATTTTTTCCATTTCTTCCACTTCTTTATGCAGTTTAATTTTTATACCATTTCTAAAAACCTCCCAAATTCCATTATATCATGCATACCTATGATGTTAAGAAAATAATAGCCATTCCTGAGTAGCAAAAAAGATCCTAGGCCAGGCCCAGTGGCTCTCATCTGTAATCCTAGCTACTCAAGAGGAGTATCAGAAGGATCACCATTCAAGACCAACCCAGGCAAAATTTCCACATGATCCCATCTCAACCAATAAAGAGCTGGGATGGTAGAGGAGCCTACCATCCCAGCTATTCAGGAAGCATAAATAGGAAGGTCACAGTCTAAGTCAGCCT